CAACTTATTGATCGACATTCAGCACTACAAACGTCGCATAAGGAAGATTCCGACCGCATTCCATTCACTCTCACGTTTCACCCTCACAACCACTCAGTTAAATCCATCATTCTTAAAAACTTTAAATTACTTCAAAACGATCCAGAGACAAGCACTATCTTTTCGCAGCCTCCGCTCATTTCATTCAAACGCGACAAAAACATAGGCAATTTTTTGGTCAGAAGTTCTTTTCAGACTAATGACCAACCAGGCACTTTTAAATGCGCTCGTGCACGATGCAAAACGTGTCCTTTCATTCACAACACTGAGAAAATATCGGGACCCAAACGATCCATTAAGATCACCGATCACTTCACGTGCACCTCCGCCAATGTAATCTATTGCATAACTTGCACTTATTGCAAAAAGATTTACATCGGCGAAACAGGCAGAAGACTAGGTGACCGATTCCGAGAACACCTTCGCGACGTGGAGAGGAATGACAAGGACACATCGAAACCAGTCGCTAGACATTTTAATTTACCTAACCATTCTAAGCAACACATGGCAATCTGCGGTCTTTCCTTACACTTAGGTAGCACGGAAAGCCAGAAAACTCTTGAACAAAAGCTCATCTTTCAAACCTGCTGTCTAAATCCCACAGGTATCAATGAACGCTTTTCATTCCACTAATTTATTCGTGTTTTTCTCATTGCCATGTTCCCACCAATCACGTAGCTCCTTTTTCTGCCTTTAAAAGCACACGCAACCCACAATTCCCCTATTCGCTTCAACAAAGGGCTAACACTCAAAACGTCAGCTTTTATAATCGAAACGGTGTCCAAGTTATCATTTCAACTTTGTTGATATATTCAAATTATTTCGTTACCCCCACCGACGCAGCCCCAAACAGTTTCTTTAGAAACTATCAGCCTTTATCCACCTATATTTGATTGCATAGTTTATGAATTTAAAATGGTCTCTAGCTGGAAGTTGATTTTGCTTTGTAACTCAATGGATAACTAGGATCAGGAATCTTGTTCAAAGATAAGCAGAGTTATCATTGCTGGAAATGCCTTGAGCCATTATACCGTTAATAAAGACAGTGAAGCAAAGGTACACTATTTAAAACTTTTGGCTAGTGTCTAACTTAGTTGTACTTTTACACCTTTAGGAGGCCAAAAAAGTTTTCTTTTTTTCTGTGTTTGCTTTAGATGTAGTGTGAATTAGCTTCCATCAAATTATGATGGACATCTTTTTATTGTGAAAAGAGTCTTATGGAGATTTTCCTATAAATATGAAATAGAGTAATCAAAATGTAGATTTGCAATTGAGGCAAACAATGCATTAAAACATGACTGTTCCCCAACAGGCAAAGTATTTGACTAGAAATACTGAGGCTGGTAGTGTGGAGGCTATGAAGTGTTTGGATGAATTTCTAATGCAACTGGCTGTAAGTTATGCAGAAAGTCTATGAAGTTAAGATTTTGAAATCTTACTTAATGAATTGTGGTTTTCTGAATAACATACAACACTGATGAACAAAATGCTATATTAATTGGCATTTCCCCCACTAGTCATGTGTTCCAGTTGACATAATGCCTGGGGAGTTTGATCCAGCTAATCACACAGTGCCCCAGCAGCCTCTTCATCGCTGCATGTTTCCCCAAGCAGCTGATTATCCAACTTTTCAAAGTGTGACCAACCCATATGAAGCTGTAATTGGTGGAGTAAGGTAAGTGTTCCACAGAGTACAACCTGTGTTCTGTATTGTAACTTGATGAGTAAAGTAAGGAAATTCATAAGTACTATGTACTTGGTTAAGCTGCTACATAATCTGTGTATCTTGCTGGTGCCAATTTGAGGGTGTCCCGAAAACACTGACCTCCAGTCCATGGACCCCCCTATGGACCTGGTCCATGAACCCCTGTAAGGACCAGTCTATGGACCCCCCTTTATGGACCCCCCATGAAAAGAGAATAATAACAATGACAACTTATAGATATTTGACTTACTGTTGTTTTTTTGTTCGTGGTGGTGAACAAACTAAAGAACTAATATAATATTCCAAATATTACAGTGGCAATGAAAGGAGGAAAAAAGCAGACTAAAAAGTAAAAAAAAAAAAAAAGAGAAAGGAAAAGACCATTCTCACACACAACTGGGAGCCATCTAATGCCAAGCCGACCGTGCAGCCCGACCTTTATTATATCAACACGATGAACCATTAGGGTTACAACACTAACAAAACAGCCAAAACTGAGCCTTGATACAGCAGATTGACATGCATGAATAACTGGAACTAAGGCACTACTTGAAATCCTATATCCCTAAATACATATGGAGGGTGGGTGGGTGGAGAAGCTCAGGCAATGGCGGAAGGCATCAAATCAACTGAACCTTGAAATGCCATGTGACCTGGAGACCCCCAACACACTCGAACCCATTCTCCCAGCTGCATGTGAGAAAAACGTTTTCCGCTTCTTTCGTCCCTCAGCCAGCGGAAAACCACACAACTTAGCTAACTTGTGTATATATATCCTTCTGCATTTGCTGCTACTAATTGTCTCCGCCGTTTTGTTCGGCTCAATCCCTCGCGTGTTCACTGACTTGACCCAGGCATCACAAATAGTCTTTGACAAAGAAATTATATTGTGGAAGACTGGGACGAGTCAATGAACACACGGGGGAACGAGCTGAACAAAATGGTGGAGGCAATTAGTGGCAGCGAATGCAGAAGGATGTGTATACACAAGTTAGCTAGGTTATTGATCTTTTCCTTTCTTTTTTTTTTGTACTTTTTAGTCAGCTTTTTTCCTCCTTTCATTGCCACGGTAAAATTTGGAATATTATATTAGTTCTTTAGTTTGTTCGCCAGTGCGAACAAAAAAACAGAGGTAAGTCAAATCTCTATAAGTTGTCATTGTTATTGTTGTCTTTTCATGGGGGGTCCGTAAAGGGGGGTTTGTAGGGGGTCTGTGAACCGGTCCATACAGGGGTCTGTGGACCAGGTCTGTAGGGGGGGGTCCATGGACTGGGGGTCAGTGTTTTTGGGACACCCCCAACTTGTTGCTAATCCTTTATTCTCTTGAGCAAAACAAATTATACAGTTGACCAGGACTTGTTGATTAAGGTGTTTGTGATGTAAATCTCATCTATAATCATAAAAAGAGAAATTCCTCATGAATTTTATGGTTATGTTCATTTTAAAACTATATTATTTCGCAGAATCCTTGGAACTTCAGGACAAAACATTCAAGACATTTCCAAGGTTTCAACTTTTGAGGATGGTTTGGATATTCTTGAACACAACATGATTTGGGGCCACATTGCACCCACAGCCCCAGACACCCTAGGTACTTGAGGAATTCACTTTTTTATGCACAAGGGAACATAGAGGTTTAGGGAGAGCAGAGAGAATGCAACTTTTAACAGATTTTTTGGGCCAGATATCTTACATAAGGTGTAAGGTAAACCACAGTTTTATGCAATCAGTAGGCCTTAGGCTTTCTCTTGAAGAGAGTGCATTTGATTATAATTGTTCTTCTACTGCAAGCCTTTGACCCTCTAGATGTTGTTCACCAAAGCAAATGCTCAGATGAAAGGTTTAGCTCAACTGAGGATTGTTTAGGATGCAGTGTTGTTAAACAACAGCTAAACTTTGTTTAAATAATGTAATTTACTGACTGTTAGTCTTAGGGATGTAGTTCATAATAAATCAAGTTGGGTGGTGATTTCTAAATGAAGGTGACGAACAAAAAGGACTGCAAAAAGCAGCAGATACTTTGTTTTAGAGCTGTGTTCAACTGGGTCCACTTCGAGTTATCTGGGTGAGCTGTTGCCATGAAGGAAAATGAGTGGCCTGGTGGTTAGGGTACTGGATTCCTGATCAGAAATGTACTTGTTCAAGCCCTGACTGACTCCTTGTGTTGTGTTTTTGGGCGGGGCACATTACTTTCAAAGTATCTCTTCCCACCCAGAAATCCTGAGGAGTAACTAGGCAATGGACTGGCCTCCCTGCAGGATGAAGGAGTAATGTTTGTTGTCACTTTGGGATATGATAATAGGATAGGCTGTAGCAGTTTGTGCAGTTTAGCTCGCAAGCTAACTAACTGGAATCTTGATTGCTTACCGACAAGTGGTCATCATAGGTTTTTTCAGCAATGGTGATCTGCTTTTGGATGACCACTTGCCATTTACACATTTTTTTTTTTTCAGGGTGCTACCCATACTATGAAAAGGATCCTTTTATTCTGGAGAAATGTCCCCATGTGTACTTTGTTGGCAATCAACACAAGTATGCAAGCAAAGTTATCCAGGGTAAGCCTTCTGGTAACAATGAATCAATCAAACAGAAGAATGTCTTTGTTCAGCCTTCATTTTAGTTTTTAATTACCTTATTTCTCTCTTTAGATGAAAATGGCCAGAAAGTGTTATTGGTGACAGTTCCTGCCTTCTCCAGTACTAAGACATGTGTGATGCTAAATCTAAGAACACTAACCTGCCACCCAATTAACTTTTCTTCTTTCCCATTGACACCAGATGTTGAGGCATTAAGTGAAGCAAAGCTGGAAATTTAATTGTAAACAAAGGTTGTTTTTTCATTAATAGACATTGTGTTGTTTCCATAGTTTTAGTGAAAGAACAATCAAGTCATCAGATAGTGCCTTCTTTGTAAATTGAGGTTGTGTTGTGTTTCCTCATACAGACTACAAAAGAAACTAGCTCAATTTGCAGGATATAAAGTCAAGGTTTGCTTCAGTTCCCAATTATCCATGGGTGTTCTGCTTAAAATATAATTTTCCTCTCCCATACACACCCTTTTATGTGCATTGATGTGCAAAGCATTTCATTGTCAGGTTTGTGATCTATAGGTGGATTTAAAGGCATCCATTGTAAACCCTAGATTCCACACCTTTTGCACACAGCATACTTGAAAAGGACATAATTTATTCAGATTGTAACTTTTCCTTTCATGTGACACCCTCATTCAAAGGAGAACACTTAATTAGGTTTAGTGATTAATAAAACATTAAAGATGTGYAGCAAAGGACACAGCCTCATACATAAAGTGGTTTTATACATTTTTTGATAAAAGATAGAAGGGAAAAGTGAACAAGCAAATCTATCCAAATCAATCAGTTTTGTGAGTTTGGTGAAATAAAGTACAATATCATGAAGTGGATGGGAAAGACGTTCAAAATAACCATGACAGAGAAAAATAACTCAAATTTTATTTCATCGAATACCTAAATTTACTAGAATTTAGTTCAAAGCATCTTTTTAATCCAAACAAAAATTACTCCTAAAGAGCACATATTTAACATTTCTCTAACAATAACACAAAATATCTTTGGTTTAAAGCCATCTTATATTTGGGATGTGTAAATATGTCTTTTAAATTAATGTTAATTACTGTAAAAACCCACAAGTAAGAACCTACATTTTTAGGAGTTAGCCTAAACAGGTTCTTATATAAATGGTACTTAACAAAATTTTAGGCTATTTAGGTTCTTAAAAC